TTAGATGCGTATGTCCACAGAGCTGCTCTGTGGAGGAGATCGGAACAACTGTTTGTCTGTTTTGGGCCACCTAAGAGAGGGTGTCCTGCATCTAAGCAAAGGATGAGCAAGTGGGTGGTCGAGGCTATCTCGCTTGCTTACGGTTCGGCCCATCAGCCTTCACCTTTGGCTGTAAGGGCTCATTCCACCAGGAGTATGGCTGCCTCTACAGCTCTTCTTTCAGGAGCTTCTCTTCAGGACGTTTGTGATGCGGCAGGCTGGTCCTCACCGCACACTTTCGTCAGATTTTATTCCCTTGACCTTAGCTCCACTCCCGGGGCTCAGGTTCTCTCGTCGGCTTGTGTCTCCTAATGACACACGACGGGGATTTGGTCGTATGGGGATGTGGGTATTGCGTTCCCACTGCGATTACACGCAGCGGTAGTCCCTGAAGGGGAACGTCCCGGGTTACGTATGTAACCCTAGTTCCCCGAAGGGACGGACGCTGCGTGTCCTGCCATACTCTCGGCATCCCCTTGGGTCGCTGCTTCAGTGACTTTTAAGCTGGCGTGTTGTGTGCTCAGGGGATATTTATAGCTTCCTGGTCTATGACGTCACTCGCCGTACGCTCTTTCTCTCCATTGACTGATTTCATTCATGCTTCAGACGCGTCACGCTGGGGGCGTTCCCACTGCGATTACACGCAGCGTCCGTCCCTTCGGGGAACTAGGGTTACATACGTAACCCGGGACGTTCACATATACATATAATTATTATGGTAAAGGTTATGCGTACTTGGCGTGCTGTCCGGGTGGAGGGCTCCGAGCTCGGAATTTCTGCCCGAACCCAGAGTACTCCCCCCAAAAAGCAAAAGAGCAAAAGGACAGCCGCCAGACTATAGACCCCCCAAAGACGCAGCGAATTTGGCGGGCTGGCTTTTCAATAAGCTTGATCGCTTGATCGGGATATCTCCATGGCGTTAACGGGTAAGTCCTGCTGACCCATGGACGGGGAGCGGCGGGAATCGGAAAAACGGCTGACCGGGAGGGTCCATGTAGCTTCTGACGTGAGCGGCTCAATGGCGTCAGGATATTGGGCTCTACCGGCCGCCTGCGAGGTGGAATGAATTTGAAAATGCTGGCCGGGCAGGAAAGATAGATACGTGTCGAGTCCACTGAGAGACCAATGCTCGCTGGACAGAGGTAATAGAAAGGTAGATACATGCTGTGTCCGCTGGGAGACCAATGCTCGCTGGACAGAAGAGAGTAGAGACAAGTACACAGTACGTCCGCTGGGAGACCAATGCTCGCTGGACGGGAGAGAGTAGAGATAAGTACACAGTACGTCTGCTGGGAGACCAATGCTCGCTGGACAGGAGAGAGTAGAGATAAGTACACAGTACGTCCGCTGGGAGACCAATGCTCGCTGGACGGGAGAGAGTAGAGATAATTACACAGTACGTCCGCTGGGAGACCAATGCTCGCTGGACGGAAGAGAGTAGAGATAGATGCATGCAACGTCCGCTGGGAGACCAATGCTCGCTGGACGGAAGAGGGTAGAGATAAGTACACAGTACGTCCGCTGGGAGACCAATGCTCGCTGGACGAATGAGAGTAGAGATATAAGTACACAGTACGTCCGCTGGGAGACCAATGCTCGCTGGACGGAAGAGAGTAGAGATAGATGCATGCAACGTCCGCTGGGAGACCAATGCTCGCTGGACGGGAGAGAGTAGAGATAAGTACATAGTACGTCCGCTGGGAGACCAATGCTCGCTGGACGGGAGAGAGTAGAGATATAAGTACACAGTACATCCGCTGGGAGGCCAATGCTCGCTGGACGGGGGAGAGTAGAGATATAAGTACACAATACATCCGCTGGGAGACCAATGCTCGCTGGATAGAAAAGAGTAGAGATAGATGCATGAAACGTCTGCTGGGAGACCAATGCTTGCTGGACAGAGAAAGAAGAAACATAGATGCATGCAACGTCCGCTGGGAGACCAATGCTCGCTGGACAGAGAAAAAAGAAACAGATGCATGCTACGTCCGCTGGGAGACCAATGCTTGCTGGACAGAGAAAGAAGAAACATAGATGCATGCTACGTCCGCTGGGAGACCAATGCTCGCTGGACAGATAGAGGCATCAAGTAGGGGTTTTAACAGGAATATTAATTCTGAATAGTGAGGTCCTGGAGAAAAGACATCACTGCTGCTGCAGTGGAGAAAATTAGCCAGAGAAACAGAGCTCCTGCGGGAGCAGAGTAGACATCACTGCTGCGGCAGTGGAGAAACTTACCTGGAGAAATTGAGCTCCTGTGGGAGCAGAGGAGACATCACTGCTGCGGCAGTGGAGAAAATAGCCAGAGAAACAGAGCTCCTGCGGGAGCAGAGTAGACATCACTGCTGTGGCAGTGAAGAAAATAGCCAGAGAAACAGAGCTCCTGCGGGAGCAGAGTAGACATCACTGCTGTGGCAGTGGAGAAAATAGCCAGAGAAACAGAGCTCCTGCGGGAGCAGAGGAGACATCACTGCTGCGGCAGTGGAGAAAATAGCCAGAGAAACAGAGCTCCTGCGGGAGCAGAGGAGACATCACTGCTGCGGCCGTGGAGAAAATAGCCAGAGAAACAGAGCTCCTGCGGGAGCAGAGGAGACATCACTGCTGCGGCAGTGGAGAAAATAGCCAGAGAAACAGAGCTCCTGTGGGAGCAGAGGAGACATCACTGCTGCGGCAGTGGAGAAACTTACCTTGAGATATTGAGCTCCTGTGGTGTGAGGCTGATAGAAGGGAGGAGGAGTTTGGGGCCTGGCAGACCGATGCTCATCTTCTTGCGCATTAATCAAGACGCGAGGAAGAGGAGGTGAGAGATTAAATCCTTGCAGGATTATGCGTATCTGAAGTTTAAGTGGCCGAGCAAAGATAGCAGTTCTCGTTTAGAACAGTTTAGACTGTCTGGGAAGGTGGACGAGATCAGAAATCGTATTGATTATTAAATGTTTTAATTTATTTTTTATTTTTTTGGTTTCTCAAAGTGATAACATGCGCTTACATGATGAGAAGACTAAAACGTTTTAGAACCTGTGTATATTCCCCTCTGACACATCGGTTTGATTCAGTAATCATTCCCAGGAAGCAAACAGACGTTGGGCCAACGTCTGTTTGCTACCTGGGTTGTTTGATGTTGGATGATCATCAAACAGCAAAGTACCGTCTGATTTAGATGATTGTTTGTTCATTTATCCGCTGCTGGTTTTGAGTGGTACACGCATATTCATTCAGTCGTTAAGTAATTCGAAAATCTTTCTAAGTTGCGTAGGAACCCTCAACATGACAGTTTATTTTAATTATATATGGCTATGGGTCACATTCCCTGCCGATTTGTTCGTTCTGAATCAAAAAAAAAAAAAAAAAAAAAAAAAAAATAGTGAAGCTATGGGTTTAAATTACTTTAAAAATTAAATAAATGTAAAAAAAACATTTACGCTATAACTTTAAGTTTCTAAGCGATTTTTGTAGATACATTGCAGGACAGTGTTAACAATAGGTTCTTAATGATTCTGTGTGCAATCTGCACGTAATGTGCGACATACTGTTTACGTGTGAGTTTACGCCACAAGAAGCATTGCGTTAATGACGATAAATCATTTGTACAGAAATGGTTTAAAATGAGTGTTCCCCCGATCAAAACATGAGTATCCAGATAGCATAACTGGCTCGTGATTCAACAACTGAAGCGATGCGAAGTTCAACCAGGGACGGAAAACGAAAAAGTTTTTGAGCTGAGCACTCGCGAAGTTGACCTGGCAGATGTTGCGAGTGTGGACTGGCCGGCGGCCGCGACTGAATCTGCAGCGCGGCTTACTTATAGGGCCTGCTGCGGCAGCCTGATGCTGGAGGAAGGCCCGTTCCTTCGCGTGAAGAGGGCGGCATTGCCTTATCCATTTCTTTATGGCAGGAATTATTGATTGTATGGTCCAGTTTAAAGATTGCGGATGTTTCGCCCGTGGTGGCGAGGACCTGTTTGTTTGGCCTGACGCCCGCGAGATAACACCAGAGGATTGCGGCAAAGATTCCTGATTCTGACGGACGAAAGATTCTTCATTGAAAGGGAAGAGCTCGATTCGGACATGTTAGGAAGTTATGGAAGGATGGTTCTTCTGTTATTTATCTTGTCCTGAGTTGATTACTGATTGATCTCCACTTGTGCTGATTGGGTTAATTATCTGCACCTGCTCCTCCCGAACCTTGTTAATAAAACATCATTTATTTACATTACATTAGTTGAGTTAACATACAGCTAATTAGTAAATGAACGAATAAAATAATAAAATAAAGATTACATTAAAGGGATAGTTCACCCAAAAATGAAAATTCTGTCAGTATTTACTCACCCTCATGTTGTTCCAACCCCGAAAGACCTTCGTTCATCTTCGGAACACGAATTAAAGGTGCTCTAAGCGATGTCACGCGTTTTTTAGGCCAAAACATTTTTTGTCACATACAGCAAACATCTCCTCACTAACCGCTGGCTGCCTGTCCCCTGAACACACTGTAAAGAAACGCGATCTCTGTAGACAGCCCAGGCTCCACAAACAGCAACAAAAACAAACTGGGCTAACCCGCTCCACGAAACATAACAAACAGTTCCAGCCAATCACCGACAAGAAGGACTTCTGTGACTAATACATGATTAACTAACTGTATTTTTTCAATGTAGGGGAGCGCGGGGCACAACCTAACGCGGGGTTAAATGTAACACGGACCTTTTACATAGTTAGTCAGGATCAAGCAGGTTGTGTTTCCGCTCTTTTTCTCTCGCTGCCAGAAGACGGTCTCCCGCGAATTTGTGGAAAGTTTTGATAATATTTCGTGATGATATTGGACAAAGAGTGTTTTGACACCATGCATGTAAATTTTTTCATCGTAGGTTTTTTTCGGTTTCTGATTTGGGTGAGTACGTTTCCAAATCGAACTTTATATTGCCTTAATCACTGTCTTGTTTGTTAAAACATAGTACCGTTTTGAAACATGTCAGCAACTCCTAGCAACTGTTAGCTAGGCTTAAAATATGTTTTACACAGCGGGGTTAGTTGTAGCACAGTGTTACAACTAAGCCGCCAAGTGTACAATGATAATCAAATGAAAACAGGGAGCCACACAACTTTTCAGGTTTGAGTATTTATTTATATATTTAACTTTGTTGGACTTTCACAAACAATGTTGGAATTTAAAATGTTTAAAATTTAGTTTACTATGGATTGATCACTTGTTTATTTATTAAAAATATGGCCTGTTTTTAATGCAATAACCCTTTCAATTTTGATTTAAGCTCATTTGTATTATTATTACTGTTGTTATTATTATTGATAATAATAATTTTACATGCAGCTGCCACACACAAATCTAATTCAATTGCAATTACAATATTTGATGATTTTATTTATTCATTGCAAAACTGTGCAGCCCTTTTCTATGTCTCTATCCATGATATTGATCCATAATAAAAGGATGATTGGATGAGGGATGGATGTATGGATATCTATCTATACAGATGCACAAACAATATCAAACTATATAAATAAAATAGTACTGAATTATGTGTGTTACACCCAAGTATTACAACTAACCCCTCTGTCTGTTACAATTAACCCCGCATATGGGGTAAGTTGTAACATTTGCACTTCTGTCACTTTCAGTGCAACAGTACGAAAATGGTAGGTCCTAGAAAAAAACTTTAAGTGTTCATTTGTAGCAGAGATGTGTATGTTGCTTGTGTAAAAAAAAGTTGAATCTAACTTAATAATTTTTTTAATAATTGAGCCAAAACCAAAATGTGTTAGGTTGTGCCCCGCTCTCCCCTACATTTCTGAAATGCACTTTCTGTAAAGCTGCTTTGAATCAATGTGTATTGTGAAAAGCGCTATACAAATAAATTTGAATTTGAATTTGAATTTGACTTCAGGGCGGGGTTTGGGGGGTTAGTGCGCGGATGAGGAGGAGGGAGGGTCTAGCTAGCCTCCGTTTCCGTTTTGTTTTGTTTGACAACACTTTAAACGTCAACAAGAAGTGACGTCACCCGACATCGCTTAGAGAACCTTTAAGATATTTTTGATAAAATCTGAGAGCTGGATCACTCCTTCATACTAGTCCATAGGCTTCTTCAGGGAGTGAAACTTGCCGGCCTCGAAAAGTTATTAAAGACATCGTTAAAATAGTCCAAGTGACTACAGTGGCTCAATCTAAAGTATATCATGCGACGAGAATACTTTTTGTGCGCAAAAACAAACATAAATAACGACTTTATTTCAACTATTAATTTCCTTCTCTTTGGGCCTCTAGTCAGTTAAACTAGTGTAATTGCGTAGAGCTACGTCACACGTAGGCTCACTATTGGCCGACGCTGGTCATGTGGGTGATGCGTGTGACGTATAACAACAGAAGCGTACGCTGTTACACTAGTGAACTGACTCGAGGCCCGCAGAGAAGGAAATGAATAGTTGAAATAAAGTCGTTATTTTTGTTGTTTTTTTTGCGCACAAAAAGTGTTCTCGTCGTTTGATAAACTTATCTAGTCACTGTTAGCTGAAAAAAAAAAAAAAAATCGCACAACAAAAGTAACATACAATAAAATAAAAGGAAATGGACCTACAGCACTCTTTATCAGGCATCATGATAAGCACAGAGTTGTTATTTATTTAGTTCCGTATTATGGCAAATCAGCCGGGATCTCCCCGCGAGCGAGTGATCCTGACTGACCTATGATGTCACTCGTTGTCACTTGATCAGTCAGTTAGCGACGCCGACGAATCGACGATGTCCGACAAGAAACGAAAATATCTTTCTGGTCATGAAAAACGACAAAAAAAGAGCCTGGAAGAAGAGAAGAAGCAAGAAGATAAAGGTACGTAAGCCTGTAGGCTTAATTTTCCGATATCTGTATGGATAATCTACACTAAAAGTCTTAACATTAGCCTAAATCGTGCTTGTATTAATGTTCGTTATTGTTTAGATGCTAATAATAACATGCTGCATAAAATTGGTTTAGTATTAGGCCTATACCATTTGCTGTGGTGTTAAAGCATTTAACAGAACAATATAAACCCAGTTTGGCTTCTACACTAAAGTGCTAACATTAATTTACTCCTTATGTCCCCTTTCCAGGAGCACTATTAAAGTAGGCTATACGCTGCCAGTAAGCAAAGCTTCAGCTGTTGGTGAGTATAAAGGGGCTGGAAAATCATAACCTTCTGCATTTTAAAAATGAAGTCTAACTTTATGTATAATTATTTTCTTTATTTGGATTGGATTTTAATAGTTAATAGATTTTAATAGATTTTTAAAATTCAAACATTTAAATGTTCTACCGGTATTTATTATTCTATATAATATTTTATTTAAATGTTATTCTGTTTGCTATATTTAATTTAAATTATATATATATATATATGCTGTAGTTTGTGACTCTTAAACTGTCAATAAAAAATGTATCTTTGGTCAGTGAAAATCACTTTATTAGTCTTTTTATTCAGCAAGTTCATCAGTGTGTGTGTGTGTGTGTGTGTGTGTGTTCGGTCTTGCACTGCCATTCAGCTCAGTGGTATCATCATGTTTCTGTTAGACATCAAACATAGTAGATATAATAGAGTTAAATAGTATGGTATAGTTATAAGGTAGTCATTGCTTTTCTTTAGGCCTTACTTAAAACGGTCAAAGGGGCCTCCAACCAAATTTTGCTTAGGGCCTCCAAAGGTCTAGGGCCGGCTCTGCATGGTAGCCTACTGGGAGGGGGATTTAATTATTGCGTGATTTTTCGTTGTGCGTGATCACAGTTCATATAACCTATTAGAGTAAAAATATTGCGTTAGGCTACTTCATGAGTAATAAGAAAAAAGATTTTACAATTCCTGCAAATGCAGTGATGAAGTTCATGTTCTCATGATTTCTTTTTATGAATAAAACTTTTTCAAAACATCCCCCCCTCTGTTTTTTTCACAAATCGCACCCTGATTATAACCTACATATCCTTACCTCCGTGCCAGCTTTGTAGTTTAATAGACGTTTTATTACAATAAATATTAATTTGGTTTGCACTGGTTATTTAAGTTTATAATAATTAAACTAATAATCATTTTTAAAAGACGTACATGTACAACCCCATTTCCAGAAAAGTTGGGACATTTTGTATATATATATTATTATTATTTTTTTGATGGCTGTAACAGACTCCAAAAAAGTTGGGACAGAGGCAAGTTTACTGTGCCACATCTTTGTGATGGGATTTTTTCGGGAATTGAGGATACTAATTGTTGCCATTTTTCATGTGGAATTTTTGCCCAATCTCACCTGATACAAGACAGCTGCTCAACAGTCCGTGGTCGTCATTGTCTGATTCTCCTTTTCATGATGGGCCGTATATTTTCAATAAGAGACAGATCTGGACTGCTGGCAGGCAGTCAAGCACATCCACTGTATAGAGTCTAAACCACCATTTTACCATGCATGTTCAGAATGAGGCCTGACATTGTTTTGGTTCCCAGAAAAGATGTCATCTTGATGGCAGTCTCTGTACAATCCCAATTCATGTCTCTACATCAATGGTACCTTCATACACAAGTCACCCAAAACATGCTGAAATGTGGACTCATCTGACCACAGCATAGATTTTCACTGTCTTTTAGACCACCTGAGATGAGCTCGGGCCCAGAGAACTCAGCAGCATCTCTGCACTGAACAAATGTATAGCTTTCTCCTTCCGTAACAGAGAATCAAGTTGCATTTCTTGATGCAGCGTCAGACTGTGTTTAGTGAAAACGGTTTTCCAAAGTTCTCCTGAGCCCATGTGGCTGTATTTAACACAGTAGCATGACGGCTTCTCATGCGTGCCATCTGAGGGCTCAAAGGTCATGCAACAAGTGTTTTCCTGCCTTGCCCTACATGTACTGAGATTTCTCTGGATTCCCTGAATCTATTCACAATATTATGTATGGCAAAAGCTGAAACTAAATACTTTGCAATCTTGCATTGATATATCAGAATTGTTTGACAATTTTCTGATGAAATTTGGCACAAAAAAGGTGAGCCATGACCCGTCTTTGCTTGCAAAGACTGAGATGCTCCTTTTATACCCAATCACGACACCCTCGCCTAATAACCAATTCACTTGCTGACTGATTCAAAACAGTTTAACTTGGATATTCTATAATCTTTTCACTTTTATTTTGTCTCTGTCCCAACTTTTTTGAAGTGTGTTGCAGTCATCAAAATCAAAAACTGTTTATATATATATACAAAATACAATTAATTTGGTCAGTGAAAACATTGGAAATCTTCTTAAATCACAGATTCTTGATGCTATTGCATTTTACATAATGTCCCAACTTTTCTAGAAATGGGGTTGTATTTATGCTAGATATTATCTTGAACTCTCCTGTCCAAGCAGTTGTAGGTATTGGCAACAACTAGTCTAGGAAACGAGGTGATACTTATCAGTTAAAGTTAATGTAATCTTAACTGGACTAATTTGTCCAGTCACGCCAAGTGTGTTGTTTTAATAAAGGGAGTTTTGGGCTTTGTGTCGGGAAAAAAGAATAGCCTACATTTAGTGTGTAATAAACGCGGCAATCTTGCATTCTTTTTGCTGACCCTGTTTTGATTTAACAAACAGGCCGTGAAATGAAGGATACAACAGATGGATTCTTTGCGACCTTGCCTACCCCAGTGCCGCATTACATTTTTGAATGCAAGTATTGGGTTTTAACTTACTCAAATATCTAATGATACAAATGTAAAAATATTTTAAAATGTATAGTTTATACTCTTTATACAGAAATGGACCATGGTACACATATTTATACAGTTTGTGAATCATGTTTTAGTTTTAGACAGTTTAATATAACTTTCAAAAAAGTCTAGGACAAATGTTACTGTCACTCATCACTGGCAGCTGTTACAGTTGCTAGGTGAAAAGAACAGTCCTCCGTAGGCTAGACCGTCCCATTTAACAGCGCTCAGTCTGACCTTTGAAGGATGCAGCCTTTGAATTGGGACACAGTGTGTGAGCCATTCATTAATTTAGGGTATTTCCCCGACCTGTGCAACCCCCACCCCCACCAATCGACTCCTAAGGTGGGAGTCGAAAAAATCGGAGTCGACTCTGTTGGTCAAAACTATATTGTTTGAAATTTTGTTGTTCATTCTGCTTTTTGTGAAAAAATATTTGGTTATTATTAAAGCATTTTATACTTACACTTTTATTGTAAAGACTGCCACTCTTGGATTAAAAAAAGTTTATAATTGTAATAAGAACAAGAAGTGGAAGAAGAATATAAAACTGAACTAAAGACAGTAGAAAATGTAAGTGTGGAAAACTTACTGATTATCCTTGTACTTTCAGATAATTTTTAAAGTTTGATAAATTACGACATCAGACTCATATTGTTAAATTCATTTATTATTGATTACCAAAGTTTTATGACATAAAGATAAGATGAAAAACAAATGTTTTAATTGATGATACATTTACAGTCAAAGCTTTCATTGTTTTAAAAATACAATAATAAACTTTGAAAAAAACATGTTTTTTTTTATTATGTAAATAATAATAAGGCAGATGAGTTGCATGAAATATATGAATCATTCCTCACTGGCCCTATAGATTGAACTCCTTATGCATTTGGAGTCTTAAAGCTCTCATACCATTAACTTGAGCAACACTAACATTTAAAAGCAGACCACCAAATGCCTGTGTATAATGTGTTCATATTTTTATAACTTTCTTCTGTCCTACCATAATATTTCTTACACTTATGGTCTATAGTTATGGAGTTATGAAATTGTGATGACAAGAAGAATGATATTGATGACACAGATCAACCAGAAGAAGAGGCCAATACCAACACTGACATGGTTAAGGATGCGAGCCATTCTGGAGTTTCTGCTTGCTATCGGTTGGTGTCCAAACATGTTAGCATCCCGAGTCTGTGAAATTAAATGACAATAATATTACAAATATTGGTATAGAACCTTTCTTAAATGACATGTATAAAATCAAATCAAAGGTCTTCACAGGTCAGAATATCAACACAATAAGAAAACACAAAAGCAACTCTGACAGTAAACAACTAAGAATAAAATAAGAAACCAAATTTATTATTGAATATTTGATTTAAACTGGCCGTAAAAAAAATATTATCACAAAACATATCAGAGAGCTTTTAAATATCAGTGATTGGTGTGCATTATAGCATTTCCACTAGATTTTGCTATCTTCAAATCTGTTTTTAAAAGTTTCTACAAATAGATTAACTGGCCAAGATAATAAAATAACTAAAACCAAGATAATAAATATAGCTGCAAGCAGCAATGACAGGCCCAAGCCCCAGTGCCTCCGCCACCCCAGTGGCTTTAGGACAACTATGCATGGTGGGCAATGTGCATTTAAAGTGGGTAAATCTAAAATAACTATGTGAAAATCATTTGAATATCCCACATTTACTGCAGCGAGCTGGTGCAACTATGGCCATGCACCACAACAGCAACATTCATGAGATCATTTAAATTTAGATGAATTTCATGTCATAATTTCGAGCTGCAAATGATGACTTCACACTCATTTGAAAGTGACCAATGACATAGGTCTTGTAATGATCAAGCAAAACCACACAGCAACGAAACGGTTAAACTCTAAAATATCAAGAGTGTAAAAAATACTCACGCACGCACGCACGCACACAGAGAGAGACAGAATGAGATCAATGGATCAGTTGGATACTGTTTTCCATAGTTGAGCTAGATTCAACAACATTTTAAACAAAAGTAGATTTTGATGATGTCTAATACATATCCAAATGCAATACCTAATAAAAGCAAGTCATTATGTCTGAAAACATTGCAACATATGGTCAACCATTTCAAATGAGTTATCATTTGCAGCACAAAATTTTGTAAGTCCAGAAGTATTTATCTTAAGGTCTTTTTATATTTATATTAACCTAATTATTAAAATAATGATATACAATTATGTTGTCAGTGCACTACAAATGAACTGGATCTATGCCTTTATTTTGTCTATCAAATTGATAGAAAAAGACAATTTCTCATCCATTAATGCAGGCAAAAGCACACAGAAATGACTCTAAACATTAAACAGTATAAAGTAGACTGACACACACACAAAGGCAGAGTGAGATCAAAGGGAAAAGTTGGAGACTGATTGTGATTACCAGTAACACCTTTCTCAGGAACCAGGCTTTTCTTAACCCTGTTTAAAAATAGGCATGGGCTGCCATCAAGTGGTTATAAATGTTAAATGTTCCGATCCAATCTGACTTGTAATGCTGCCCGAATCATGCACTGTTCTTCCGTTGGCCAGAGGACAACTGGCCCCCCGACTGAGTCTGGTTTCTCCCAAGGTTTTTTTCTCCATTCTGTCACCTGATGGAGTTTTGGTTCCTTGCCACTGTTGCCTTGGATTTTGGCTTAGTTAGTTGGGGACATTTAACATTTAATATTCAATAATATTATTGATCTGCCTTACTTAAGGTGGACGTTGACGCAATTTCTTTTAGAAACAAACTTTGTTATATTGTTATATTGTTTTTGTTATATTGTTTTCATGTTATCACTGTGAAGCGCTTTGATACAATCTGTATTGTAAAAAGCGCTATATAAATAAAGGTGACTTGACTTGACTTATACTGTGTATATTACATTTTATTTTATTTTTTTATTTCAAATAGATAGCATGAAATCTGCATATTTTTAACTTGGACATAATACATTAATTATTAAAAAATATGTTTTTTTTTTTACTTTTTATTTGTATAATTTATATAGGAATAAATGGTAGCCTATATAATTTGAGAAGATATGAGAAACTTCCAGTTTCCCTTTGTGTCATTCATTTAATCCCTTGCCATGGCAACAGTGATATCCAATACCCATTCGCAATTAAGCATCTTCAATTTATTGGAATCATGTTGAAAAAGTTTGGTGTGACTCGTATGACACCTATTTGAGCATGCAGTGGGCGATACTGCAAAATTTGGTATCGATCCGATACAAAATACATATAGGGTCAGTATTGCCGATACCGATACGATACTTTTTACTTAAAAAAAATTGTGTCGGGGAGAGCAGTATGTCATTATTTCTGAGGTGAATGAATGATCAATTCTTTAGGCAATATTTTTTTATTAATGTATTGAAGTGCACACAATTATTAGTTATTAGGCACTGTAGAATGAATGCTTCACAGCCTTTTTAAAAAAAAAAAAAAAAAAAAATAGAGTAACAAAAATCTCTCCCTTTTTTCTGGTTTTAAAAGCAAATTAAATAAAGTGAAATAAAGTGCACACAATTATTACTGAAGAACAAATATACCTGTGCAATTACATTCCCTGAGCCCCCCTTCTGTTCCTCTCGGCCATCCTGATCTCTCATTCAATGTGCAATTATCAGCCTTCACTGCTCCTCACAGAAGAGCACCAGGAGGGGGAGGAGGAGCAAATGGATGTGAAGTGAAAGCAGCGTTTGCTCAGGATTGTAGAGGTAGAAGACACGAGCAAAGTATAGTGAACGTAGAGGAGAGATATTTAAATTAAAATATCGATTCAATTACAATTGGATCGATCTGATACCAATACCAGTGTTGGCATCGATACTATCGATATTTAGATCGATCCGCCCACCCCTATAAAAATAGCCACGGCCAAACCATTCGAGATATCAAAAAATGTAGCAAAATTTAGCATCCTCAATGGCTTCATGCTAACGGAGTTTGCTGGCGATTAGATGAGTCTCCTAGGAGTAGGGCCTATCAAATAATTCTCATATTGTCACTGTCCCTTACTTTTTTTTTTTTACTGAATATCCAGTTTTAACTATGAAATATAAAACATTAAAGGACAACTCCGGTGCAAAATGAACCTCGGGTGTAATAACACATTGGTACAGACTAAATCGTTCCCTGAGATTTGTTTTCATGATAATCGAATGTAAAGAGTTTTATCTCTAAAAACAGTTTAGCTTATAACGCTAGTATATTGGGCATCGAGTAAGCAAAAAGAGATCGCTAGTTAATACCCTTAACAAGGCTCAAATTAGCCCAACACTAACACGGCAGCATAATGAGTGTCCTTACATGCAAACCGAAGCATTGAGAACTTTGTAAGTGTATAGACAGTTTAATAAGAAGATACTTTACACAGACAGTACAGCTAGCGCATACAGACAGGACCCATCTTGGAAAAAAGTCTCGATCAGTCAAACCACGAACACGGTGATACGTGAGCTGAACTGTGACTTGGAATCTCATATGGTCCGTTGTTTCCGGAAGAAAGCACTGAGCGCATAAGAGAAGCACTGAACGCAACAGAGAAAAAAAAAAAAAAAAAAAAAATTATCTTATCTTCAATATCTACACGTACTGTTCGCTCACCTTCGTGGTTCGATTGATCGAGACTTTTTTCCAAGATGGCTCCTGTCTGTATGCGCTAGCTGTACTGTCTGTGTAAAGTATCTTCTTATTAAACTGTCTATACACTTACAAAGTTCTCAATGCTTCGGTTTGCATGTAAGGACCCTCATTATGCTGCCGTGTTAGTGTGGGGCTAATTTGAGCCTTGTTAATGGTATTAACTAGCGATCTCTTTTTGCTTACTCGATGCCCAATATACTAGCGTTATAAGCTAAACTGTTTTTAGAGATAAAACTCTTTATATTCGATTATCATGAAAACAAATCTCAGGGAACGATTTAGTCTGTACCAATGTGTTATTACACCCGAGGTTCATTTTGCGCCGGAGTTGTCCTTTAAATTGCACGTGTTTTTTTTTTTACTTTAACATCCACGCTAAGACCTCAGTTTAACGTCTCATCATCCGAAGGACTGTTTTTTTTTTTTTTTTACAATGGTGAAAAGACAGAGAAAAGAGAGAAAAGACCTGCTCTAAATCGACAGCGATTCACAAAATTGCTTTTGATCCATAGCGCGCCACACCCTTCCTTTAAAAACGAAAGTTACTAGAAGCCGCAAAACAGCATTTTAATTGGCCTAGATGTAAAAATGTTAACAACACACTAAAAATACAACGTTGATATTTTAAGCAGAGTTCAAACAACGTCACAATATTAATGTTGATTCGAAAGGCAAACTCGGAATGAGATTTGAATTCAACCTCGATCCATGGCGTTAAATTTTCATTAAAAACACAGGATATATCATTTTGAAGTATTTACCAAATATGAACCTTGGTAAATATTCTACAACAAGGCCTCATTATTTTGACTGTCTTAGCTGTTTCACTTTGATTTCTTTGAGTTCTACAAACACTTAAATTAAACAATATAGCTATGTCCTTATATTATTTTAACCAGTATTTATTTATTTTGAAGAGTAGGCCTATCATTTGTAAATGTGCTAAGCAAAGTGAGATAGCTGTATGAACCAATAGGATACTTACAGTGATGGAGTAAACAAGAGCAGCCACTCCCAGAGGTAAGCAGCAGCACAGCATGGTAAAGATGGAATAGCACAGGTAATCTGACTCTGGATAAGTCAGTGGAGTGAAGGACACATTAGCTGGAGGCTGCACAGTGACCACAGTCTGCACCGGATATGGCCCTTGTATGTACAGGCCAGATGCTGCCGGAGCTCCATAATGCTGCGCAGGTTGACCTGAAGTGCTGGAATAACTCTCAGAGGGAGGGAATCCAATGGAGTATTCCGGAGGCTCCTGCTGAAGAGAAAGTAAAGGCTGCCCTCCTTCTGGATTCTGAGATGACTTTTTGTAATCCATGTTTCTCTTTGTAGTCAGGTCAAGATTGAACTGTTACGTGTGTTAAGTTCCTCTTATGGTAACTTCTTCTTCTTCTTCTTCTTCTTTCAAGTTTAATGGCAGCTGGCAAACCAAACTTTAATGGTGCATTCCCGCCACCTACTGGATTGGAGTGTGGATAACGTTATGGTAGTAATGACC